GTAGAGAGTAGAAAGTAGAGTAGAGTAGAGATTAGAGAATGAAATTGTGAAAATTTGGTGAGAAAAAATTGTTGTAATAGGTAGGTATTTATAGGAGAAGAAAAATAAAAAAAATAAAAAATAAAAATAAAAAAAATATGCGACCAAACGGTCACTGAAAAATCAGTGACCGTTCTTGTCACTTTTGTTGGATTTTAATTTTATATATATATATATATATATACGAGCCCACGAGCTGCTCGGCGAGCCGCTTGTCGAGCAGCTCGTGAATAGTGCGAGCCGAGCCGACTCGGCTCGCCAAGCCTAGCAAGTCAGCCTGCTCGGCTCGTGCTCGGGCTCGTTTTTTGACGAGCCCGAGCGGCTCGTGGGCATGAATAGTACGAGCCGAGCCGACGAGCCGCTCGGCCCCCTTGCCATCTCTAAATTCGATCCTATATCCATCCCTGATGATCGGTATCAATTACATTTTTGCATCGTTGACTATAAATGATTTCATGTAATGTAACAGTAAATTACTAATCCTGTTTATAGTAAATTAGTAATATTTTGTCCAGGTCAAATATTATTAAAATTTTACTGCAAAACAATTTAAATTCACCTCACCCGACGAGTTTATTTGATACAAAGTAGCTTGGAAGAATAACTAAGCAAATAAAAAAAATTCTAATCTTGCCAACACCAAATACTACATGAGATAGTTTTTATTCTGGGTATTATGAGTACCATATGTGCGCAAGCTTTCCATTCATGAATCTCTATCGAGAATGTAACATCAATATATCAATAGCTACAATTGGATTGGACAATGTATAGGAATTCAAGCCCATATTATATTACAAATCACGAAATTAATAGTTCACAAATAATTAATTAATCGATCACAATTACTTTTCACCCCACTCCACCCCCACCCTGTCGATAACATTCAAATCTCCGTCATCACGTCGATCCACAACCACCTTCACCTCTAACCATATCCACCACCTAAATCGTTACCCTCTATCTCAACCGTGTAAAATCGGGACATCACTCCACCTATGCCACCCACTCCACCATTGTCACACCAACCAAATAGCCGCCGTCGCTTCAATCCACAACCACCACCACTTTTCATGTGTACAATGGGGGATAAAATGGTCAGTGTAGATAATTGTACTGATGGCCCGGTGGTGGAAGATGGGAAAAATCGAGACTACTTTTTTGGAGCAGAGAAGAAAAAGGAATAAATGATAGGTGGTGTGGACTGTGGAGTGGTTTAGGGTGGGAAGGTGCAGTTATACCTGATTTTTCATATAAAAAATCTTAATATCTAATTTTTGAAATTAAAAATAAAAAAGATCATGCTACATGTACCAATTTTTTTTATTGAATTTTTTACATATTACTCACAATGAGAATGAGGACCACATTGTTGAAATTTTTAATTACACGCGAGCCCCGTTCATTATGTGAGATGGGGTAATCAATTATATACAAATGGATTAACCCAAATAAAAAAGGTAAGTTTGAGATAATTTTTCCTTTCACAACTTGCAGTGAGTTTAATTACGTCAAATGATTAATAACAGAAAATCCTCCTAAAAACGTTTCAATTTGCGATATACTAATTACGTATTAAAAATCGTAGAAAACCCTCTTATTTGAAACTTTTTGTGCGTAAGATCCCTCTGTCATCAAGATCGGTTAAATTTACTGTTAAAATAGTAAAAAATGCCAAAAAAAAAAAAAGAATAATTACAATTTCACTATCCAAACTTTTTATTTTTTTACAAATTAAATTAAATTTTTTTATATATGTCACCTATAATTTCAAATCTTTAAAACTTTATTTTCCATCCCAATATTATGGATTCCTCACTCTTAAACTGAAAATCCTCCTAAAAACTTTTCCATTTGCGATATACTCAATTACCTATTAAAAATCGTAGAAAACCTTCTCATTTGAAACTTTTTGTGAGTAAGATCCCTCTGTCATCAAGATCGGTTAGATTTACTGTTAAAATAGTAAAAAATGCCGAAAAAATAAAAAGAATAATTACAATTTCACTACCCAAACTTTTTATTTTTTTACAAATTAGATTCAATTTTTTTATATATGCCACCTATAATTCTAAATCTTTAAAACTTTATTTTCCACCCCAATACTATTGATTCCTCACTCCTGAACTGAAAACCTCAACTCCTGAATTGTTTGTTGTGATTATCAAATGTAATATACAGAAAATGAAGAAACAAAATGTTGAGACTCTGAATCGCATAAGGTTTAGAAATGTAATGTTTTTTTCCCAGTTAATTACTCGCTGAAATTAATATTTTAAAGCAATTGGGATAAATTCCGGCCGAATTCATTTTTAAATCCTCAGATTTAGGAGCTTGGTCACCAGCAACACAACATTAGTATTCAAAAACCAAAAAAAATTAGAAAAATCATTCATTGAACAATTTATCAATCACACGAATAGATTCGTGCCATTTACATGCTCCACAACCCCACCAAAAGAACCCAGACAAAGTGATGAACGAGTACACGATCCAATTCAAGAAACGCTCTATCAAAGTGGGTGTCTAAATATTCGTCCAAATTAGTTGCGTTAAATGCTTACGTTACAAATATTGAATTAAGTTTGTGAAATTTCAGATCCAGAATAAAATTTATGATATCATGAAATATTGAAAATATTAAAGGAAACCAAAAGAGAAAAAAGTGAATTTACCGAATGTTTTCTTTGAACATTCTTGAATTTCCCAAAATGGGTGTGGGTTTTCATGTAATTGTGCAGGTCGAGGCACTCTTCAGCGGAAGACACTACATCGATGTGAAACACGTACTGATTGCGTGGATGGTAAAGCGCCTGGAGAGTTCGTCGGAGCATGTCACCTTCTTCTGCTGAGCCGATTATCAAATAAAATAGGCGCGACGGTGGCGATGAAGGAGAGTTCAGAATAGGGCAGAGTATGACTCGACGAAAATAGACGCAACAACAGATGAGGAGTAGTACCATTGAAGTGGTAGTAGCGGCATCCCATTCAGTGAGGTTACGGAGGTTAAAAAAGAAACAAAGAAATTATTGAGCCAATAGCTAATGGGAAGTTCCATTTTCTCTCCATTGTTTGTAGGCTATTCATAGTCGCTCACTACAGCAGTCACCCCATGTGGCACACACATGACATGTAGTTATTTGATGTATTAATATGGTAGTTTTTTTACCACATTAATGCATTAAATACACACTTAACATGTGTGTGCCACATGGAGCGACTGCTGCAGTGAACGACTGCAAATAACATTATTCTTGTTTGTAGGTGTCTCAAATGCATATGATAATTCATTAACTTCTTCAATTCACCAAATAAAATTTTAAAGATTTGATATTATAGATTGCACATATAAAAAAAGTGGATTTAATTTGTAAAAAAGTAAAAACTTTGAGTATTAAAATTGTAATTATTCATTTTTAATTTTGGCATTGTTTTACTTTTTTAACAACAAATCTAACCAATTTTGACGAAGGCGAGGTTTTTTGCACAAAAAGTTTCAAACAGATGGGTTTTAAAGGTAAACATATCTAAAAATAAAATGTCTTTATCCTTTAGCTTAAAGAGAATCACACAACCTCTGTTTTAACTCCTATTTGATTTAGCTAAAAAGTTGATAAAAAATTTAATTAAATTCAACAATTAATTTTAACAATATATTTCATAATTTTTTTTTATCAAAATCTACTAAAATCTAATTTCTAGTTATTCCAAACAAAGGCTTAATGAATTAATTGTCATTGATCATAAATCAACTCACTCGATCTAGATTATAAATTGGACAAGTCTCGATATATATTTGAACTTGAATATATGGTTTCTTTACTATAAAATTGATAGGTTGAGGGCTAACGATGTCAATGACTTAAGATTAGAACCAACTTGTTAGAAGGGCAATTCTATTTGTACATAAATGGATGACAATGGAGGTTGACAACCTCTCACGTGCATGCGGGTCCCATGTGATTAAATTTTTTTTTTCATAAAAAAGTGGGTCCCCCCTATTTGAATGTTCGATTATCCACATTATCATCTACTTCGGTACATGTAGCATGATTGTAATAATTCTCATAAATTGAGGATCTCAACTTAATACTCTCTCTCTCTCTCTCTCTCTCTCTCTCTCTCTCTCTCTAACACGTTTCAAATCATATTTTACAAAACAAATACACCCCTTTTGAAAATTGACAAAATGCGGTGATCTATATTTTACAATATTTATTGGGTAGTACTCCTTTTCGACAGAACGTGGGGGGAAAAAGTGCATTCCGTCCGCATTAATTCAAAGTACGCGTGGCGATAAATAAGTGGTCAGCACATTCTAGAAGGTCAAAACAGAAGTTTCTCGGTCAATGTAGAGGATCTGTCTCCTCCTCTTTTCCACTATAAATAGAAGCCTCCCCAAATTGCTGGCTCCGTTTTAGCACCTGCATTGACGCCAACGCTAGCTTAATTAGTAAGCTCTCTTGTAAGGTATGATCCATTATTTATACGCAGTTTTTGTTTTCAATGTTTTGTATTCTTATTATTATTTATTATTATTTTATTTTTTTTTTGAAATTTTTGTGAGTTTATTGTTCGAACAGTTCGGATTTTAGATTAAGGGTAACCGATTTCTGCATCTGACAGATCCCGTACCTTTTTTCTAAATTAACGTGAAAATAATTGTCGGAATAGAGAAATTATTGATGTGAAATTCCTTTTTTTTTCCATAATGGTTTTGAAATTTTAAATTAGAGATTGAGTAATGTAGCATATTGTGAATTTATGTGTTTCTAATTTATTTGGAAGCACAATTATTGAATTTCAGCCCCTCTATTGACCTAAGATATTTAATAATGGAAAACCACTTACATTTTATTTTTCAATTATTGTTTATCTGGATATATTTGATGTGTGCGTTGTTGGTAGCTAAAATTGGATGGGAATAAAAGAGTATCAGCATGAAGACACTGAATTAAGATTTATTGTAGCTGGAGCATTGAATAAACTTCTACATTAGGCTATAAATTCATAAATGAGCTCTGTTGAAATATATGTTTTTTGGATAGTTAGATAGATATGTATAATCCTTTTTTGTAGTGTATTGTTTACTTCATTTTTCTTGAACTAAAGAATGAACATTTTGTTAGAAGAATTTTATTTTGTGCATGTAGATGACACTTTTGTTATTCTAAATGTGCAATCATAGCTTATAAGACATTACGTGCAAAAGAGAGAGTATCTCCAATTCAAAATTTCAAATTTGCCTTTTTTGGTGTTATATCCAAGCACTCATGAAACATATTATGGACTAGAATTCTAGTTGTGCTCTGGTATTTCCAATATTTATTTTGGAATGCAGGATTGACCTTGAAATATTTATTGATTACTGGAATTTTGTAACTTGTGAAATGTATGTATGTGTGCTCCATCTTATGTGATTGGTTTTTAAGTTCTTATTGTTCCATGATTTCCTATTCCCGGAACTGAGTTGTAATTTGTGTAATTATTGTCTGATGAAGTCGTGACTTGTTGACTGTCTGCCGATCATCCTTTCTTTTGGATAATAATAACTCCACTGAACTGTTGAAGATGGCAGAGGTATGTCTCTGATCGTTGTACACTTTTGCTATTTAAATTATGCTTTACTCATTGAACAAATTAATTAGTGGAAGTGTTTCATGATTTGCATTTATTGCATTTTCTTCCAATAGATTTGCATATATAGGCTATTTACGAATTAACCAATCCTTTGTTATGGTAGGAGGGACACAAGGTCACTTTGAACGTGTATGACTTGAGCCAAGGTCTAGCTCGCCAACTGTCAACCACATTTCTGGGAAAAGCTATTGAAGCCATATGGTTAGTGTTATATTTCTATAAGGTTAATATATCTGTACACAAGTTCCCCACATTTAAGCATGTATGTACAGCTGATTATCCTAGTTAACAAAATATATTTTATTAGTGATCTTTGTGCACAATTGTTTCAAAATGAAAGAACATTCATTTCTATTTAAGCGTGATTATCGGTTGGTATAACCTATTAGAACAACCTATGAATTTGTTTTCTTCAATTTCTTGCTTTAGATGGTTCTTATTTTCATTTTAAACTGTTTTCAGTTGATAAGTAGCTGGAATTTTTAATATCAATAATGCTGAGTCCTCCTGTGTTGGAAATTTATCATCACATTATATTTTACTGGGAAATACGTTAAGGTCTTTAGTTGCTCTTTTTTTTTCATATTCAAAAACTACGTGCTATGGAAGGTTGAATGATGCATTGTGTGATGAGAATCTTATAAAGATATTATCTAATGTAGTTTTCAACTTTGATGCTTATTTTAGGAAACATAACTAGTTTTTGATTTCATAGATTTTATTGTACTTTTCTACTTTATTTAAGACTAATTTAAACCCCATATAAAGGGCTTCTACACTGTGATAGATACAACTGAAATAAGGGTATTCTCTCTCTTAAATTTTGCTTCCGTCCCTCTCACCTTTCTATCTCCCCCTTCTTCTCTTTTCCCTCTCCTTTCTCTTCTTCTTTCCCCCTTCCCCTTCTTCTATAGTTGTTTGATTGCATCCTATGTCATTGTGTCTTTAAGTTGATGCAGAATATTCTTTTTGTATGCATGTGCTTGCTTTGTTCACAAGTTTTGATGTTCAAGCGATTAGTTTCTCTAGGTGTTTTGAGGAAAGAAAATGGTACTTTATTTATTGCTCTGTCATTTTAGTTCATTTATCTTCTCTCTTTAGACAGTGTCAGTGTTTATGAAGCAGGTCCCGTTGATTGACTCGCATCTCCATACTCTTGGAGCTTGTTTATTGGAAAGAGGTTCTTATTTCACTACCAAGTGAGTCTAATTAAAATTTGTTTTTCCTTGAACATATTTAGGCACACGGGAGTTGTGGTTTATGGTAATGAATACTATTTTGGAGGCGGCATACAGAATGCTTCTGCTGGAACAACACCATATGGCACTCCAATTCGAGTTGTAGATCTTGGTGTCACACATGTGACAAAATATTAATTTGAAATGTTTCTGAAGGAGATTGGCCATCGCTACACTGCGGAAAAATATAGTCTGCTAAAAAATTATCACATGTGCCCAAAGATGTATTTGAAATGTATCTGCAGGAGATTGGCCCTCGCTACACTGCGGAAAAATATAGTCTGCTAACTCATAATTGCAACAACTTTAGCAACGAGGTGGCACAGTTTTTGGTCGGTGCTTCCATACCAGACTACATTTTGAACCTCCCCAATGAAGTTATGAGCAGCCCAATGGGTGCTGTCATATGTAAGTTCTGTTATCATCCTTATTACCAATACATTTATATAGTATAGCTGGTTCACATTTCTAGCTCTTGATTGAGGGGATGGGGGTTTGGAAATGGGATTGGGGAGAGCTGTCCCTTTGTCCTTCCATAGACCAATATAAATCTATATCTGTTCTTTCCCTTTGGCATGTCCATTAGAGTGGAAATGGGGGAAAGGGGATTTCAGGGATGGACTGCTTCAATATAAAGAAAATCTTTTCTCTGCTTTTTGGTTGGATGGATAAGAAACGCGAGGGGAGAAAAATCATGATTTCGCCAATATATCCTTGCATCTTCTATAGAATATGGACAGAAAAACAGAGAGAAAAATGACTTCGCCATCTTGTTTGTCCATCTTATGTAGGATATTGACAAGAAAAGAAGTGTAACCCTTTTTTAATGTAAGATTTATTTTATTATTTTATTGTGGTTGGATGGGTGGGGGTGGGGAGGCTCTTCATTTATCCCCAACGGTGGAGGGAAAAGCAATCATATCTTCCTTTTGTCTGTCACTTGCTACTGTGACTACCCCCAATTCTCTCCATGATAGTTGTTTTTCGGTTTCTATGCCATACTAGTTATAGCGTACAATTTTTATATCTAAAACTAATTTTGATTTCTTTTATTTTCAAGTATTTGATAATAACGGGAATGATGCTATATATAGCCGATCCACGATTTCTATAAGAATTTATTTAGGTAACCAGAATGCATTTTATTTACAGTTCTTTTGTTGGTTAACTGGCAAATTTTATTTGAACATTGCCAAATGGTCACCCTTAATTATTCAGCTGATGTGAACTATAATAGTAACGTGTACTAGGTTCTCTACTAGTAAGAAGTGTTCAAAAGTAAAGTTTTTTAGTTGCTCATTAAGGTAATTACTTCTGGTACAGTGCCTATGATACAGCAATTGGAGACAACAATGAGAGCAGGTGCGGTTCCCCAGGCTCCACAGTTCAGGCCTTCGACAGCTGCTCCTGTTAAGAAGTCCACAGGCATTGAAAACAAGGAGTTTCCGAGTAAAACAACACCGGAAGCAAAATGTGTCAGTTCTGAAGGACAAGAGGAACCGAAGAAGAATGTAGGCTCCCCTGCGGGTGGAGCACAAGGGGAGTCGTCCCGTAAAATTGTACGAGACCCTCTTGGAAATGCTCGAAGCAAATTACAAGAGGAGATCAGTACTGAGTTTGCTGCACTTATGGCTAGTGGGACACTACGTGCAAGTGAGGCTGCTGCTCTAGCAACTAAGAGAGTGATGCAAAGATATGGACATATGAATGCTGCGCAGAGCTAGAATTGGGGGCTAAATGTGTTCCGTAGCAATCTTAATCTTAATTCATTGGACTGTATTTTTTCGACTGATTTAATTGATCGTAATTTGAATCAGAACTCCTGTTTTTTACTGCGGCGGCAGCTTAAATGTCATTAGCTGTTTCCGTTATGGCCGGCAAATGCCAGGTTCTTTGCAATGCCTGAAGACTCTCATTGATGTGTATTTCTTACCATATTTAATTCAGCATTATTTTGTACTTGAAATGCAATTGAATTTGTAATACTGATGACAAGAGTGCGAATGCTTACTGTGTGAACAACCACTTACAACACATTCGATTAGATCCCAATTAACACAATACGTTAATTGACTTAAAATACATTTTTCAAATACCCTAAACATTTTCAATACAGTGTACTCTAAAAAACACAAACACAAAATTGCAAAAATAATGGGTTTGGAAGATCCAGGACTGAGATTTTGCTTTCCGTCCTTTGCATGTTTACCATTCCTAGTGGGACAGGTTGAGGACAAGAAATTTTGTCTTGCTTAGATGAATTTATGGTGTGTTTGACAACCATTTTTTGAAGATAAAAATTTGTAGAATAGTGATGGGAGAATGTGTGGTGGAAAAGTTATAAAAAGTTTTAGATTTGTGTGTATTATTATTTTATTGGAAGAATGAGTTGTTGAAATGAAGTAAGGAAAAAATGAGAATGAGAAGAGTAATGTTATTCATCCCTAGTGAGGATGGAAACACAGTCTACATGGCCTTAAATGATAGGTTAAATGAAAGGTGAAATTAAATGTAGACCGTGTTTCCATTCCCAATGGGGATGAATAGCATTACTCGAATGAGAATGGATCCCAAACATGGGCTTAGTCTCGTCACTTTAATTATAGGGGTACTTACAAAAATACNTGAATGACGCATTGTGTGATGAGAATCTTATAAAGATATTATCTAATGTAGTTTTCAACTTTGATGCTTATTTTAGGAAACATAACTAGTTTTTGATTTCATAGATTTTATTGTACTTTTCTACTTTATTTAAGACTAATTAAAACCCCATATAAAGGGCTTCTACATTGTGATAGATACAACTGAAATAAGGATATTCTCTCTCTTAAATTTTGCTTCCGTCTGTCTATTTCCTCTCACCTTTCTATCTCCCCCTTCTTCTCTTTTCCCTCTCCTTTCTCTTCTTCTTTCCCCTTCCCCTTCCCCTTCCCCTTCTTCTATAGTTGTTTGATTGCATCCTATGTCATTGTGTCTTTAAGTTGATGCAGAATATTCTTTTTGTATGCATGTGCTTGCTTTGTTCACAAGTTTTGATGTTCAAGCGATTAGTTTCTCTAGGTGTTTTGAGGAAAGAAAATGGTACTTTATTTATTGCTCTGTCATTTTAGTTCATTTATCTTCTCTCTTTAGACAGTGTCAGTGTTTATGAAGCAGGTCCCGTTGATTGACTCGCATCTCCATACTCTTGGAGCTTGTTTATTGGAAAGAGGTTCTTATTTCACTACCAAGTTAGTCTAATTAAAATTTGTTTTTCCTTGAACATATTTAGGCACACGGGAGTTGTGGTTTATGGTAATGAATACTATTTTGGAGGCGGCATACAGAATGCTTCTGCTGGAACAACACCATATGGCACTCCAATTCGAGTTGTAGATCTTGGTGTCACACATGTGCCCAAAGATGTATTTGACATGTATCTGCAAGAGATTGGCCCTCGCTACACTGCGGAAAAATATAGTCTGCTAACTCATAATTGCAACAACTTTAGCAATGAGGTGGCACAGTTTTTGGTCGGTGCTTCCATACCAGACTACATTTTGAACCTCCCCAATGAAGTTATGAGCAGCCCAATGGGTGCTGTCATATGTAAGTTCTGTTATCATCCTTATTACCAATACATTTATTTAGTATAGCTGGTTCACATTTCTAGCTCTTGATTGAGGGGACGGGGGTTTGGAAATGGGATTGGGGAGAGCTGTCCCTTTGTCCTTCCATAGACCAATATAAATCTATATCTGTTCTTTCCCTTTGGCATGTCTATTAGAGTGGAAATGGGGGAAAAGGGACTTCAGGGATGGACTACTTCAATATAAAGAAAACCTTTTCTCTGCTTTTTGGTTGGATGGATAAGAAACGTGAGGGGAGAAAAATCATGATTTCGCCAATATATCCTTGCATCTTCTATAGAATATGGACAGAAAAACAGAGAGAAAAATGATTTCGCCATCTTGTTTGTCCATCTTATGTAGGATATTGACAAGAAAAGAAGTGTAACCCTTTTTTAATGTAAGATTTATTTTATTATTTTATTGTGGTTGGGTGGGTGGGGTTGGGGATGCTCTTCATTTATCCCCAACAGTGGAGGGAAAAGCAATCATATCTTCCTTTTGTCTGTCACTTGCTACTGTGACTACCCCCAATTCTCTCCATGATAGTTGTTTTTCGGTTTCTATGCCATACTAGTTATAGCCTACAATTTTTATATTTAAAACTAATTTTGATTTCTTTTGTTTTCAAGTATTTGATAATAACGGGAATGATGCTATATATAGCCGATCCATGATTTCTATAAGAATTTATTTAGGTAACCAGAATGCATTTTATTTACAGTTCTTTTGTTGGTTAACTGGCAAATTTTAGATGAACATTGCCAAATGGTCACCCTTAATTATTCAGCTGATGTGAACTATAACAGTAACGTGTACTAGGTTCTCTACTAGTAAGAAGTGTTCAAAAGTAAAGTTTTTAGCTGCTCATTAAGGTAATTACTTCTGGTACAGTGCCTATGATACAGCAATTGGAGACAACAATGAGAGCAGGTGCGGTTCCCCAGGCTCCACAGTTCAGGCCTTCTACAGCTGCTCCTGTTAAGAAGTCCACAGGCATTGAAAACAAGGAGTTTCCGAGTAAAACAACACCGGAAGCAAAATGTGCCAGTTCTGAAGGACAAGAGGAACCGAAGAAGAATGTAGGCTCCCCTGCGGGTGGAGCACAAGAGGAGTCGTCCCGTAAAATTGTACGAGACCCTCTTGGAAATGCTCGAAGCAAATTACAAGAGGAGATCAGTGCAGAGTTTGCTGCACTTATGGCTAGTGGAACGCTACGTGCAAGTGAGGCTGCTGCTCTAGCAACTAAGAGAGTGATGCAAAGATATGGACATATGAATGCCGCGCAGAGCTAGAATTGGGGGATAAATGTGTTCCGTAGCAATCCTAATCTTAATTCATTGGACTGTATTTTTTCGACTGATTTAATTGATGGAACTCGTAATTTGAATCAGAACTCCTGTTTTTTACTGCGGCGGCAGCTTAAATGTCATTAGCTGTTTCCGTTATTGCCGGCAAATGCCAGGTTCTTTGCAAGGCCTGAAGACTCTCATTGATGTGTATTTCTTACCATATTTAATTCAGCATTATTTTGTACTTGAAATGCAATTGAATTTGTAATACTGATGATAAGAGTGCGAATGCTTACTGTGTGAACAACCACTTACAACACATTCGATTAGATCCCAATTAACACAATACGTTAATTGACTTAAAAAAACATTTTTCAAATACCCTAAACATTTTCAATACAGTGTACTCTAAAAAACACAAACACAAAAATGCAAAAATATTGGGTTTGGAAGATTCAGGGCTGAGATTTTGCTTTCCGTCCTTTGCATGTTTACCATTCCTCGTGGGACAGGTTGGGGACAAGAAATTTTGTCATGCTTAGATGAATTTAGTCTCGTCACTTTAATTACACTACTGTTAATTTTTTACTAGTAATCGAATGCAGAGAATTTTTTACTAGTAATCGAATGCAGAGAATATGTTAAAATTATATTAGCGAATTCTCTGAAATACTTACATAATTTCCCAATATTTTCAGGCTCTCTCTCTCTCTCTCTCTCTCTCTTGTTTTTCTTGAAGAATTTTTGTAGGAGGTCCATAGATATGTTGTCCTTTGAGATTTGACTACATTAAATTACCTGGTTAATTTTACAAATGGTCACTGAAGTTACCTGAAAATTTCAAAATGGTCACTGAAGTTTCAAAGTTTCAGAAACGGTCACTGAAGTTTGAAATTTCTTTCAAAACGGTCACTGAATTTTCAGATTTTTTGGGCAAGTTTGAGGCAATTTTTCGACAACTTCCGACCACCAAAATCGTCGATTTCGGATACCGTTGGAAAGCCCACGATGTCCTCTTCAATTACCACAAAAAATCTCCTCAAAACTCCAAGTGATTCTGTCGGAATAAACCCACGAAGTCGGCAACCGAAAATTGTGAAAATCTGCCCAGATTTTCAGATTTTTTGGG